AGTGGTACTTGTTATGTGAAAGTTTCTGCTGTTCTGAGATTTCTCAGTGCCAGTTTTAGGACACCAGTGTTATATCTGCATCAGCTCATTGTGAAAAATATTGTAAAACATAATTGTTTCTTCTAGAATAATAGCTCAAAATAGTATGTGCATCATTTATTTATTAATGGCATTGTTTGTCAAATAAAGTCTTTAGATATAGGCGTTTGAGGTATGCAACAAGCTGTCATTTTTTTCTTACCAATTCTAATTTATTTAAACAAAGAAGAAAATGTGTTTTGTCTTTCAAAGGAGGAGAGAATATTGATCAAATTGTGGTTTTTTTTAGTTAGTAACACAGTGGGTCAGGAGATAAATATTCTCTGTTTTGTTGTATCTATTCAGCAATCTGTGGTTTTCTTGACTTTTCATGCTTGAATTAATTCTCAGGAGAAACAATACTGAGGAAATTCTCCCATCAGGGGGTTTCAAATTAGGAAGTGTGGGTGAGCAAGGTAGCTTTGAAACAATATAATGGTAAGTAACAGAAAACAGCAGCAGCAGTCTTCTGCCACCCCTAATTCAAAAATAGCCTCAAAACTATCACCAAAATTAAAAAAAAAAAAAAAAGCAAAGCAAACTCTCCAGCAGCCTAAACAAAACAGAAGCTACTTTTGCAAGCAAAAGAAATTATGTTTGCACTGCAGTAAAATCTGCACTGTGCAGTAAAACTTGCACTGCATTAATGTGAAGAATTTACTATTTCATTTTTAATTCTGTACCTAAAATAAGCGCTGGTTTCTGTTGTGTACTGAGGTAGTAGATCCTTTCGAAGTGCTTGTCAAAATTACTTTTATTCCAAAGATCACAGATTTTATAATTGCATATATTTGGAGAAGAATGAAGATATAAGTTTCCATTTAGACAGTTTGTCCCATGATTTAAATTATTTATATCTATGTTAGTCTTTTACACTAGTCATTTAAATGTCATATTGGCAGGGATCAGAATTAATTTTAATGAATGGCAACCTTAGGAATGTTCTTAGGTCAGACTTTGCATGATTGGGAATTTAATGAAAAGTAATATTATGCATTCAATCTTACAATTTTGCAGGAACCCTCAACATTTTCCCTATTTGTTTCAGGAGGAACAACACCTGCTCAGTGGGAAGACATAACAGGAACAACACCATTAACATTTGTAAATGAATGTGTTTCCTTCACCACAAATGTATCTGCCAGGTAACACCATACAGAACAGTACATAGTAATAAAACTGTAAAAAGTATTTCAGAACTTTAACCTTAATTTGGCAGCATATTATGCATATGCCTCTGGTCCATAAGTCACCTACTAAATCCAGAAGATGCTATTCTGGGCAATATAAGGTTTATAATAGGATCCTTCCTTAATTCTGATCTAATCTTGGGATAAACCAAGTTATAATTAACTCTGAATTATCAGCTACACTAAACAAATAAATCTAATGTAAACAGTGCAAGTAAACTTACTGTTCTCTGGTAGCTACTACTCTGGTAGAGTCCTAAACAGCCAGAACTTTTTAAAAAACAGTTCTCTTAGGATTCCATAGTCTGAAGGTGTTGGCAACTTCTTCTAAGGCTGAACAACTCATTTCAAAAATTTCTGCAAGCAGTAACTGAGGCCTCTGATGAGGCTTTTCTCTCTTTCTCTCTTAACAGTCTGCTGCTTGGAATAGTGATGAGGATTTCAGAAAGAGGGGAAAAATTATAAGAGAGAGAATGGGAAAAGCAAAGATGTAATGTATTGGAGCAAAATCTTGTTCATACTTTGGCTTAAATTAAGGTACAATTGTTAGTGAAGACATTCTCTAATCCTGAGTAAACTAGCAATACATTCAGATCCATTTCAGTCCTGATCCAGACCCTGCATCAAAGTCAAGGGGGCAATTTCACCCTCACTGCCGAATCTGAATTATGAAGTAAATGTTTGAATTTGTTTTTTACATCAGATATTTGAAATCAGTGTTAGTGTTTTAGAAAAGTTTCATGACATTATTATTGTTTTTTTTCTATTAGACTTCTTTTGTAATAATTTAATATGCTTATTTATTTCCAGATTTTGGTTGATAGATTGTCGACAAATACAGGAATCTGTAACATTTGCTTCTCAAGTGTATAGAGAAATTATATGTGTACCTTACATGGCCAAATTTGTAGTGTTTGCCAAATCTCATGATCCCATAGAAGCCCGACTAAGATGTTTCTGCATGACCGATGATAAAGTGGATAAAACACTAGAACAACAAGAAAACTTTGCTGAAGTTGCTCGAAGCAGGGATGTAGAGGTATTGTTTTTCTTTATATATATTTTTGGACATGTTAGTTTAAAACATTGTTTTCACTATCTTATGAGTTCAGAAAAAAATAGAACAAGGGAAAAAATCTCATTATTTTAGAGAACCTAGGTGATATATTAAACACATGAATATTTAATCCATTAATTCAAAATCACAGCATGGTGGAAAGGATTTAACTTTTCATATATGCTGTTTTCTTTACAAAAACAGTCACTATCCCATAGCTTAATTTGCTCTGAGATGAAACATGCTGTAAGCATAAATAAAACAATAAATGTTAAATGGAGAAAATGTAATGAAACCAAATTATAGATCTTTATTGCAAAATAGCATTTTCAAATTAAATGTCCTTATGTGTAGCTATATAACCACTTGTCTGTCCTACAGCTGATCGTAATTTTATTCAGACTGAGTTGGAATTGTATTGTGTATTATGCTTTTGGTTAGGTCAAAATATCAGAATTTGAGTTACTTAAGACATTAAAAATGATAAGCATTGCAATTAAATGCATCAAAATATTATTTTGTTCTTTCAAAGTAAGAATACACAAAGGGGATATAGGAACAACTGGTTATTTTTTAATAGCAATCTTGGTGATTAATGCTTATAATACAAACAAACAGGTGTCTCAGTAATTAATGGCATGTTAAGATATGGGATAAGTGAGAGAAACAAAACTTACAATACCCAAGAGGCTTTCTAAAAGTCTTACCAACTTTTCCTATATGATGGAAGGGGAAAATTATTAACTATATAGTAATTAAGGGTTCTTTTCTGAGAATCTGACATTACTTCAATGGAGTCTGGAATATTGTTAAGCATCTTTGTTTAATGATTAAGGATTTATTTTTCTCTTTTAATACCATTGACATTGGTTGACTACTTTATCATAAGATGTCATAAGACCATTCCAGTATAAGCTGCTTTATTGCAATTTCTTTCAATTAGCATTGGGCTTTAATCAGACTAATCTACTGTTAAGACAGTAGTACTGAGGTATGGCAGGGTCTTCCCTACCAAGAGATGTGTTTTAGAAAACAGCTTTATAGAATCAAATCAGCAAAGCACTGAAATCAAGTTATGGTGCCAAAATTTAAAGAGCCTAATCAATTAATGTGTTAACCGCAGCTGTATTGGAAGGAAAAGAGAATTCCATATGCATCCCATCTTTGTTCATGTGGAGTGGGTATCCCTAAATCTACATTTCTTTTATACTGTGAGTTTTGTAAAGATCCCTGCACATTTTAGTTAAATTCATAGTTCATTTTATCCTCATTGTTTATTGCTGAATCAGAATCTCTTTAAGTGTTGCAAAATCTGTTGTACTGCATGTAGAACTCGTTAAAAGTTGAATATTTCATCTTAGTTCTGTTTTTTTTTACAGTTTCTTTTATTGTTTGTGTTTTACTGAGGTTTTCTGGTTGCCCATAATAAAGAAATTCATAAATTAAATATATAGGGAGATAATCCTATTAAGACTTTTAATTTATTGTATTTTGTTTACATTTGATTAAATCAAATTGGCATTTCTGCTACCTCTGATATTCAGACTCAATGTATAAATATGTTTTGTTTAAGATCTTATTGACAAACTGTGTGAAAATTTAGGAAAGAAAGCATCAACACAATAGTTTCCTAAAAAGCATTTAACATTGGATTGAGAACATATTGCATATATGCAGTATTTGATTTAATTCCTAAGAAATTTTTATTGCCTGGAAATAAGAATGTATTTGTATATATTTAGAATTAATCCATATTTGCTGTTGCTATTTATCTGTAACTGTTTCAGTCATGTGTTCTTCAGAAATCAGCAGTATTCCCATTCTGTTATATTGTTAAATGGATTGAAAGCTCAAGACAGTTGATATAGATAGGATTTTTTTTACAGAGTATATTATCTGCCGTGTACAGAAAATAATCTGATATTGGGTGGCATCCTATAAACACTGTGCGAATAAAAAGACTGACTGAAAAAAAATGCCTAGATGTCACATAGTTAAAAAAGTAGTAATTTCCTACATATCTCAAATGCTTGGGAGACTGGCCAGTTTCTTCTAGTCACCTAATAGTCCACTGTTGATTTCAGTGTTCTAAGAACTTCAAAATGCATTAGCTGTTATCTCGGACAATCCTACATACCCAAGTTAGAATAAAATTCGTGTGTGTGTGTGTGTGTTTGTATTAAATTGCACAAGTTCAGAATGTTATTGCTTATATGTTTAAAGAAAAGTATAGTTTTTGTAATTCAAATGACTACAGATTGCAGGTATAAATAATGTGGTTATATCAATAGTGCCTTCTAAAGAAGGCTAACAATAAATTCTAACTTAGGTAAAATAAAATATAAGAACAGCATTCATGAAAATTTTATTTTCTTATTAATTATATGTAGGTATTAGAAGGAAAACCCATATATGTGGACTGCTTTGGGAATTTAGTACCATTAACAAAGAGTGGTCAACATCACATATTCAGTTTTTATGCCTTCAAAGAAAATAGACTTCCATTGTTTGTCAAGGTAATTGATATTAATATGTATTTCAAGTTTGGTTTTATTTTGTTCCAATACCAGTAATAAAGTTATAGTGTGTTGGTCTATATTATTTATCCTTAGGGGAGGGGGGGGAGAAGTGCAAATATTTTTAAAAATACCATGATAAAATATTAATTTTTTGAAGGCTGCTTGTCTATATATTTCATTTAGACACTGTCAAGTAATGTCCTGTATAAAATATTAGTACCTGTTCTGTGGTTTTAATTTCTTTAGAGACCTGCAAAAACTTCAGTACTTGGTAGAAGACATAATGATGTAATGTTCTTATTTAAGCAGGGTTTGAGTGGCTAAAGATAGGTATGGTTTATTTTAGGAACCGGTATGTTTCTGTCCAGTTTGTACTATTATACATTTGTTGGCCCCTTCAGCTTAGATATAGGAATCTTTCTCCTTCCTTCCTTCCTTCCTTCCTTCCTTCCTTCCTTCCTTCCTTCCTTCCTTCCTTCCTTCCTTCCTACCTACCTACATATATTTATGCAGCACATACCCACATGCACACACATTATGCTTTTCTCTCTTTTTGGTGAAAATGGAATTCAGAATGCAGAAAAGAAGTAAGAAATAATAAGCTAAAGAAATTGGCGGCATGTTAAGAAAAAACCCCTAACTAAAACTAGTTTATACTGACAAATTCACTATAGCTCTCCTTACATTTGTCTCTGTATAAATTGTCCTTGCTTCCTCCATATCCCTGCACCAGTTCATATATTCCTTAAAAAACAAGTATCTCTTTTTCAGGATCTCAACTCCATCCAGCCACCTGTTTGTCTGCTCCTGTCTTGCACTAAATTGAACACCAACGAGCAGGTGGCAATTAGCCCATTTCCAACAGTTTTATTAGCCCATTGGTAAATCACTTAACAGATAACACTAGAACTGCAGACTATACATTAGGCAGAAAAAGATCTGTACAAAAGTACCTCTGACTTATAACTCATAGCTGCAGTTTGAAAACAACATAAAAGAGCAGATTGGTTGGCAATCCGATAATATGAGGCTAAAGAAGTCTACAATATCCAGTCCAGGTGTCATAAGCCAAAAAAACCATTTGCAAGGGAAAGCTTGAAGAGAAACCAGGAATGAGAGGGCAGAGAATGCAGGTCTCTAGTGGAGAGTTGTTTCCAACAAGGGCATGGATCCTCAGGGATGTTTGACAGCAGTTGGAGCTTAAAGTTTGCCTAATTAAAGAAGTAAACACCATTTCCTCTCAAGAAGGTTCCCAGGCTCCAGTGTTCAATGCTCCTTAACTGATAGTGTGCTTTAGAGCTTGTCCTACTCCCATGTTTAGGGTCTGATTCCTTGTTCTCTGAACTGGCAATCTCCTGTGCTGGATCTGAACTGACCACTTGCTGATTCCCCAGTTACAAGCTATGAATCTGCCAGGTTCTCTTCTTCAGTCTCAGAATGACATCCTCTTTCTCTTGAACAATTTACTCTTTGTTCATCTATTTGTTTTGCAGTTTGATCCACAGTCATTGTCCCTATATGAAGAAACCACTTCAGTATATTTTGTTCCTATTGGTCACTCACTATTATATTCAGCCCACATTTATTCAACATCCATACATTCTATATCCTATATTTTCACCACATACACTTCTTAAGCATCCTATTCCCAGTATGTTCAGCTTACTTCTATGTTTTTTCTGGCACAACGAATTCTCACTTTCATAGAACAAAGTAGGCTGAAACACATCCTTATACTCTTTGCTTCTTTTAATAAAAGTTCATCCCTTGCCACAGACTCATTACCTACTACCAGCATTGGACAGCTTATAATTTCTCAATTTTCCCATCCTTGGTAGCATTCTACCAACATATACAAATTCACTTACTTGTTCTAATTTTTTGCCATTTATATATAGCTTGCAGTCATTCACTCCATTTTACCAGTCAAATTCAACTGCCTTGGTATTTGATACTTTAATTTTCAGATCTATCCTGCTCTGTACATAATCATACAATCACTCAGGCTCTCAGCTAACGTTTGATTAAATTCCACTGTTTGACATATCACTTTCACTCCCTTTCAAACATGTAAAATATTCCACACATGTTTTGGCACTCTGTAATGTGACTATTTTAACCTTGTTCTAAGTAGTTTCATATCCTCTTTCTGTATATCCACTTTCTATTCATTCTTTTGGGAAATTAATCTGTCTTTTAACATTTTTTCATATAGAACTTACACTTTATCTTCCTGCAGTCATTTGACTTCCACTCTTGTTTCTTCCCTTCTCTAGCATGTCCATTTTTCCCCAAGAGACAATCTTGACACTGTAAGAAAATATCCGTCCCACATTTAGAATCTCTTTTACCCTTGTATCCTTTTCTAATACTCTCAAACTTTATCATAAACAAATACATGCTTTTAAATTTATATTAATTCCTTTGCCATAGGCACATATTAATACATGTGTTTAAAAAGGTCTTTTTGAAATAAACAGGTATTTTTCTAAGCAGATACTCATTGAACAGTCATCATGCTCTTTTGTTCTTGGATATATGAATGGCCCAGTCACTTTTTTGCAGTCTCTTGATTTGTGCCAACTCATCCATTAATGGAACCTAGCAGATTTCCCACCAGACCCCTCTGAATTGCATTGATTCATAGCATTGCATAATTTTTTCCAAAATTCATCCCTGATTCTTTCATTAGTACCATTCAGTGCAGATGCCACCATTACCAACCTATGTATTTGTATTCTCAAACATACCCATAACAAGCTGGATAACACCAATTTATCCTTTCATTCATAATTAAACCTTCACCTTCACTTTGTTGCAAGTATTCATTAACTCAATTTCAAATGTCAAATTATTTTATTTACAAAGATCAGCTGTAGACATAACCAAATAAAATCAGACAGTTGAAAAATAGAAAAGATTGTCAGGTTGTGTTGAAAGTGAACTGTTGCATCTTTTTAACAGATCCAACAATACATTTGAGCACCATGTAGGTAGTTTCATGATCTGAATCTGGAAATAAAAAGTGGGTGTAAAAATCCCCATTCTTCCAGGTGCTCTTGGTAAGAGAGGGGATATGATGTCCTCTGAAGATCCTTATAAAATTTACCAGAAAAAAGGACATGTTGGATCATTTTGATTTCCCCGGAGTCACAAGATCCAATGCGCTGAGATAGAGGAATGCTGGTACACCTGTCAAATAGTACTGAAGATGGGAAGATGTGTCTGGCGCTGAAAAGTCCTTTCCTCAAGCTAGAGGAAGTAAGGGTGTGCAAATATCTTGCAGTTCCCGGGAGCCTGTGTCTAGCATACGTCTTAAGGTCTGACAGAGTTAACTGACTTTGGACTGGTATTTGATGTAGTTCAATATTTTTAACATCAGCTTTTTGGGCCAAACATAGTCCAAAGTTAATAAGGAATATACAGGCACCCCACATATTCTTAATTTCTGCTCTACTGCTTTTGTCGATAAAGAGAAATAATAATCAGCTAAAACCTATAGGAAAAAAACCCTAATCTTTAACCAGCATGCCACCCATAGTCTCTCCCATGCTCTGTGTCCAATTTTGGGCATCCCCAACTCAAGCCTGAGTGCAATGTTGGAGGTGCCCTATGGTGTGGCAAATAAAGACCTTAAAAACTTGGTTTGTATTGTCTCTAGGGTGTTTTGCTTCATATATAGGCCAACCTGAGCTGCATAGAATATTTGGACTAGTGTTTTAGCTTCAGAAAGCTTTATCACTGGAGATATCAGGTCACCTCACTTTTCATAGCCTGTGCAGTTTGACATGATTGCTGAATATATTCATGATGGGCTTTCCAGGGTCCCCTGTCATGAAAAACTACTGTATTGCTAAATATTTAAAGGAGTATATCTGTTCTGCTAAATATATAGGTTTGTTGTTTTGATTTTTTGGCAAAAACCATGATTTTAGATTTCTGGTAATTTATGTTCAAGCTGAATTTGGTACAGTAATGTACAATGGTTTTCACCACACATTTAAGCCCAACAGGTGTACAAGAAATAACTGCAGGGTTGTCTGTATAGAGTAATATGGGGACTTCGTGACCTGCAATCTTAGGTGCATGAAAATCTGGGGAGTAACTCCAGTTCATAAGATCAGATTACCTTCATCTAGATCTACAGTATTTCATTTTCCCCTGTCTCATTCATAGACATGCTCTTTACCCTTTTCATTCTAAGTCACAATCTTCCATAATACTTGGTTGTCACCAGATGGGTCCATAGATATTGACCTCTACCACCTGTCATGGTTTTGGTCAGCTGAAGGTTTTATCTTTATTTCTGTGACATACTGTATTACCTGCTAAGAGTAAGGAGAGTACTGATCAGTTCTGGCACATTTTTGCCAACATGTTACTAAAGCCCAGTTTTATTCCAAACAGATATCTATGCAAGTTAGGATTTCTTCTTGATATTACTTTATAGATCAATACACTATTGCCCACATCCCACCAATGAAGAGATGAGTGCAATACTGACATACTCAGGATGTTGGGTTTGAGCTCTTGCTTTTTTTCTTCACTAGGTTCGGGATACAACGCAAGAACCTTGTGGACGCCTATCTTTTATGAAGGAACCTAAATCTTCAAGAGGTCTGGTACATCAAGCTATCTGCAATCTGAATATCACATTACCAGTATACACAAAGGTACTCCCCAGTTCAAATACAACCTGCTCGTATATTACAGTTAGACACTGTAATTTAAGAGGCACTAACCTTGTTCTATAGTGTACTTTTCACAAATTATGAACTATGTAAATATCTATGTCTTAATATTGCATATTAGGGATGCATAAATTATATAGCTTTCTTTCTTGTAAGAGGCTCTCTATTTTCCTTGAGTATTGAGAGTCAGGTAATGCACGCCACAGCTCTGTATGGAAATGATGGCTCATTAGTGTGAGTTAAGATCTATTAATACATAATAGCAACCACCATTGTTATCACTCACTCATATGATAATTAAGGCATTTTCTTGTGCATTTACATACATAGCCCACTCCATTGGCAGTGCAGTGCTGGAGGATAAATAAATAAATAAATCTGTAAAGTAGCTTTATTTATAGCCTTCTTGCTCAGCCCCAAACTAATAATCTCATTTTCCAGCATTTTGCTGTCCATAGATGACTCATATAGTTAGTTAAATGAACACGAAAACTGCCTGAGATTCCATATGCAAGTACTCTAGCTTTTACTGTAACTCAAACATAGCAACATTAAATCTGAAATCTTAACTAAAGAGATAATAGTAAATCTAGCAAATGGCTACGTTTTCTTGTTGTTGTTATGCTCAAGGCATCTTTAAGAAACTTTTCTACACATATTGAATTTTGGCATATTTGAGAAACAATGTTTTAAGTTTAATGCACAATAATAATCAAACAAAAGCCTAACATGAAATAGCTTTTCTTCTTTGAATTTACTTGAATCCCCACTTTTCTTAACTGAACCAACTTTCTTGTTCCCTTTTTTTCCTTCTTAGGGGCAAGTGCAAAAATTGTATTCGTTATATACTCTTACCAATTGAATGTGTCCAGAAATCATGCTTTTCCTTTAATTGCATCCTATCTTTCCTTGCTCTGTTTTTCTCTTTTCTTGCATGGCATATTGGATTAAAGGAATCAGAATCAGATCAAGAACAGGAAGAAGAGGTAACTTTGCTAATTCTGCTATAAAATGTCTATGATAGGGATTCAAATATAGGAAAGACCATTCAGCTGAATTCCACATGACTAGGACAAGTGTGAACAACCCATTGTCTGTTGGCCAGAAGTGCCCCACCTTAAATTAATTTCATGTGGATATTGATCAAGTTTCATAAGCCCATTGCCTTCAATCCAGTTATAAGATCTCTATAATCTAGATTTCTTCTATTACACTTTTCTGTTTTGGAAGGACAGAAGAGATTGAGAATATGTAAGAGAAAAAGGTGTTTCGAAAAGGGATAAAATGTAGTGGAAAAGAAAGAAAAATATTGATGAATTGCTTCTGTTCTGATGAAAGGAACAAAGGGATTCCACTATGATAGTCTTTATAGTCAGACTCACTAGCCTTGTTTTAACATAAAATTAAACAATGATACAGCATAATGGGAATTAGACATTACCTTTCCATGCATTTTTATAATGATAAATTAAAAATGCTTCAATTTTTAACTAATTACACTTGTGTAACAAACAGCACAAACCATGATTAATTTTACCTATGTTTTAGATAAACCAAATCAAAATATGATTTATTAAGTTCCCTGTGTGATGGAATGGAATTATGAAGGCCAAGCTCAGGGAGATAAACATTTTCTTAGCTCGCCAGAACCGT